AATTTCAGTTTATTAACAGCTTGGCAAACCTTCTTTTTTGTTACGATTAGGAATCTCACAGATTTTACGGATACCCGGCCGACGGGGGTCGGACCGGGTTATGCTTGACTTCGTGCCTCCAGTGGAAAAAGAGGAAAAAATCGCGAACCGAGGTCCACGCCCTCCTCCAATTAGTCATAGGAGACTACGCCTTTAGAAGGCGCGCTGGGCTAAGCTCGACTCTCGCCAAACCCGCCCAGCTTAACGACTACCGACTAAACCCCAACGAGCTCATCCACTCCGGCTGAGCGGGAACCCAGGTACCGACATTGGCCCCACCGTTACGTTGGGCGGGATCTGCTACTGGGGACTCCTTCTCCCTCTCATCTACATGACTCGTGAGGGGCGCACTGGAGACACAGCGCGCGCACCACCACCCCGCTAGACCTGGGCGTCGAGCACCGGGCGCCGTCGCACCCGGCACTCGACAGACAGCTTGGCAACCCTAAAATATTCAACAAAATACGTGGAATAATTATATATAACGCACACGGGTGCACTTTGTGCCGCAACAGACAATTAATTGCACGGCCCTCACAGGGCTATCGATAATATAATTTTGTGTGACGAGCATTGTTCCGGGCCGGGGGCAGCTGTCATGGCGCTGTTACAGATTAACAAATTCGAACGAAAAATAGATGGTGCATTCAATAGTTATTGAGAGAGAGTGAAGTATTTTGTACATTGTGGATTTTATATTGTTTTATCGCGCATTTAGTGTTAAGTGGAAATGGAAACAAATCTACACCACATTGTGACTGGTAATAGGACGTCTTGTGAGTCCGCACGGGTAGGTATCACCGCCCTGCCTATTTCTGTCGTGAAGCAGTAACGCGTTTCGGTTTGAAGGGTGGGGCAGCCGTTGTAACTATACTGAGACCTTAGAACTTATACCTCAAGATGGGTGGCGCATTTACGTTGTAGATGTCTATGGGCTTCGATAACCACTTAACTCCAGATTGCCTGTGAGCTCATCCACCTATCTATGCATTAATAAAAAATAAAAAAAAGTGAATATCGCCGCCAGTAAAAACATGCATCAGAAACTGTTCAAAGGGCAGAACAGTCTTTATTGTTTCAATTTATCTTCGATTTAATGTCTCAGGCCAGCCATTTGCTCCATGGCTAGATCCGATGCTACATAACACTCCACTGTGACCAGTTCACCAGTGACCAGGGTCACTTTTCCAGCAAGGCATGTTCTTATTTTTCAAGATGTGTCTATCAGGTTGTTTGCTGATTGAATTGTTATTAAAAACATTTGTAACATTTGTCCGCTCTACGGAACATTTGTGGTAGACAACACAGATGTAAAAGGGATGGGGAGAGGCTTGTCGCGACTCGAATTAGCGCTTCAGACTGTATTAATTGCCGGTCGACTGACAACCCTCGCTACGTAGGGCTGCTGAGGATTGTACAGGCACACTGTTCAATGCGTGTTTCAGATTATTTGAAAACGAATATATTAACGCATTCAACCATTGGCCATTAAACCTGACCATTTCATTAATCCAGTACTAACTGTTGAAATTATTATGAATTGATCGTATTTAGGCTAGAAGATCCTACATGTCAATAGTTTACTAAAATATCAATAGTTAATAGTTTAATGAAAAAGGGGGTTCCCAAACATATTCTGGCTACTGCCCTCTTTGAGAATAAATTACTTTTTACTGCCCTCATTTTTTCACCTACTTAAAAATCACTATAGCGAGAACTCAGTCGGTGTCTAAATATCCCTCAAGACGAAATTACAGATCGCCTCCCAAGCCTCTATACAACGCCCCGATTTTTTTCTAGGTCTCTTACCGCCCCCCTTTAGGCCTACAGCGCCCACAAGGGGGCGTTATCGCCCACTTTGGGAAAGGCTGGTTTACGGGCTAACCATTAAAGAACAGAAAGATAAGCTTCGGAAACATTACCTGGTAGGGTAGGAGTAGGGTTCTGGGTCTGTAAAGCTTGTTGTTCACGTGCTGCAGTGTATTCGGCATTCGCCCCGCGTCTTGTGGCTAGCTAAAACCATGAATACATTTCTTAATGACTAGAATTATTCGTGAAATTCGGTCACACTGTGACTATCGCTACTCGATTTGTTGAAACCACTCGCGCACCACCTACAGAAACCTCTCCTTACATCACAATCGGATGAATAGTTTAACCCTTGGCGATCCTAAGACTAACGTAATATAAGACTGTATGTCCAATACGTGGGGACTCTGGACCTTAAAGGGTTAAGATTGCATGCTATAACGTGCATATAAAGAAACATTTTCATTTAAACAGATAAGTAAAAACGAATAGTAATTACGGTCATGACAGATTTGACACGCTCAACTAAGGTTGATTGTACGAGTGGTCCGTCGGCGCGCGGGTCAATTGTGTCCCGTGAACCACCCGACCCCGTTCAATTGATTCTAAACGTTTTATTGTGTTTTATGTTCGCGTGCTAGTCACTTACTTCTCTCTTACGATTATTATTCGAGAATTTTATTTAGTATCTGTCGCGTAAGACAAAGAAATAACACTATTAGGTTATTCTTGCAAACCTGCCAGACGCCAAACATTGCCGACAGTCTGCCAAATGATAAATTAACACGTTAATTTTTATGTATTTTTTTATTGCTTAGATGTGTGGAGAGCTCACGGCCCACGTGGTGTTAAGTGGTTACCGGAGCCCATAGACATCTACAACGTAAATGCCGCCACCCACCTTGAGATACGAATTTTAAGGTCTCAGTATAGTTACAACGGCTGCCCCACAAGAGACCCGTGCGAACTCACAAGAGGTTACCACCAGTAAATCACATATATGGTGTAATCACGGTTCCTCCGCGATAAATGCCGCCACCTATTTTGAGACGTCGCATGAATATGGTTGATGATTAACATAACAGTCACATGTACATAAATATCCTCGCCTACTTTCACTGGTAAATGGATGAATCACTCCCAAGTCCGCACGTGTGGATAGGTATTATTACCATGCTGCCTATTATGGCTCGATGTCTATATGACCCCAGGAAACTCTTGCGCCATGAGCTTGTTCATCCTAACGCAGGATGGAACAATTCGTCCTCACAAAGATCGTATTTTAATTTAAATTTCTGTAAGCAAGCCAAACTTGTTTCGCTATGTCTAGTAGGTTTCTATAGTCAGTAGTTGGCTAGGCGAGGACTAGTGACGCGCGGGTCCGACCCGTGCCTAACCTCTGTCAATTGATCATAAACTCTATTGTGTTTTATGTTCATTGTTTACGATGGAATGGCGTCATTAATTCGATTTGTGTGTGTGTGTGTGTGTGAATCTGCGGCGAACACTTACGAACGTGACCGTGGGTAGACACGTCCGTTTTCTACGACAGCTAGAGCGCGAATGAAGGTTACAAGTAAATCATCCTGGTGTTGTAGGAAATGAATCACATGTCTTTTTAGTTTAATAATTACCATTGAGCTGAAGATACTAACACTATGGACTCACAAACGACTTTACTACTTCTTGTCAACACGTATCTTCTTTTGCCATAAGATAATAGTCTAAAGTTAGTCTTATATCGAGATGCTACATGATTATAATCGTGCTGCATTTCGACATTAGGGCGAAAGGGTCGGATATTCGTGGAATACTAAATCATAGTCTAAAAGTCGACCCGATCTTTTCCTTCTAATATTTTCTAAATGAATAATCTATATATTAATACGTAAAGGAGAAACTTTGTATCCCTTTTTACGAAAATTGCGCGGACGGAGGAGTATGAACTTTCTCACACTTATAGAGAATATAGAGAAGGAGTTCAGAATGTTAATATTTTTTAAATTATGCCAAAAAAATACACTAAATCATTAAAAAAACATTACACACACTACTATGTATTTGAAGCACACACGCATACATACTATTTATTTATTGTCAAACTTTTGTTCTTGACCTCTGTGGTAAAATTGAGAATAGATTAAATATTGTTTGTCTTTATTAATATTTTTCTATAGTGTAGTCTTGGCGAAACTTGTGATTATAGAAGTCTTTGAAAATAAAATCATAATAGTGTAAAAACTTATAATTTCAATTAATTATAGTCGAATTTCGACTACCGGGCGACCACTAGTATCAATAAATTGATCAGATAAAAAAAAAAACTTGTCTATCCACTTACATAACTCTCATTGACGTATACTTCTGGACGAGCAGAGGGGCTCGGGTCGCGGCTCTCCTCTTGGCGCCCGATCAATTGATCCCCTCAATTTGTCTGTAACAAGCATTTTAGTAAATAATTATATGCCTCAGTTATGCTTTAATTGTTGGGTGGATATTTATTTTGATGAACAATAGGGTCCTAGTTGTGCTATGCAAGAAGACAGTTTATCAGTAAATGGTCAGACAGCGTAACCGATCCTTAGGGGTTAATGGAACTCATAAACAGTTTTACGTAGCTGTCGCCGCAGAAATGGGCGGGATGGTGGTATGGATCTATATGACCCACCGTAAAATGGTTGATTTTATTACAAGTAGTTCTGTTCATTAATGGTGCCGATAATTTTAATTACGTGATTACTGTTTGGGAAAGGTTGCCACCTGTTACAACGAGGTTTTATGGCGGTATTTATAAAATATGGTTATAAAATGTTCAAAAGAAGCAAACATGTGCTTTCAATATCATGCGCATAACTTCTATATATTGCATGATGAATTGAGGCCTTTACGCTAACGCTTAGACTAATGCAGAGTTAATATAATAACAATAACTCTTCAAACGCAGTTAGAAGTGTTTTACGGTGCTAAGCTGTGCCCTTGTTATTTATTGTTGATGTCCGATGGGCGATGCTCACCACTTATCTTGAAGCGGGCAGCTACTAGGTTTGATTTTTAGAAGCTAACAAAAAGGTCTTTAGACAGTCGAACTGTTTTAGTTCACGGCCCATAATATCCAAGAGTATGTAATTGAAGATATCTTTCTTTTTTTTCAGGGCTACCGAGCAGCAAGATCCCGAAGCGGGCTGATCTCGCGCCGAACAAAGGCGGGCCCTTTGCGGCAGCCCTGCGTACTCTAGCGAAAAACGCTGGCCCCGAAGCAAAGGACGGTGAGTCGCTTACTGCAGTCTATATCGCCTCCACGCTTAGGGACTGGGGGATTGTCGAATATTGACGGATATTGCGGTCGGCTCAAACGCGCAGTATCTGAACGCACGTGTATGTCAGACGTCCATACATTGTCAAAATTATGTAATATCTTATCTATATATTATATAAAAATGAATTGCTGTTCGTTAGTCTCGCTAAAACTCGAGAACGGCTGCACCGATTTGGCGAATTTTGGTCTTGAATTATTTGTGGAAGTCCAGAGAAGGTTTAAAAGGTTAAGATAAATATGAAATTGCTCGGAATTAAATAAAAATAACAATTTTGTTTTTCCTTTGACGTGTCCCCCGACGGACGGATTCCTTTTGTTTGTTTTAAGTTTATTTTATACAAAAGTTCAGATATTTGATTTATCGATTGAGGCACTACGAAGTCTGCCGGGTCAGCTAGTATAAAATAAATATTCGTTTTACTTACACATATAATATGTAGTACGCTTCCGTCCAGGTAGCTCATGACGTGATAGCATACTCTCATTGTTGTAATTTGGAAAAAATAACTGAAAATCATCTTTAAAGAAACAAAAATGTACACATGAATCCGCGAGTAATCTACTAGTGCAAAACAAATACACGACATATAATAAGTTAGGCACAATCTGGTATGGATTAGCGCGTTTTTTATTAAGCTAGAATTATTATTAACGGAGCTTACTGGCGAGCTGGCGTTGACAGATTAGATCAAAGTGTGCGCCCAGCCTTAATCACGATACCATTTAGGTGACAGCCATTCCATACCCCAAATAAAGATTCACAATGGTTTCGCGGTCGATATACTATTACGTGGGTTAAGGCAATGGCACGAGTTCGTTGGGTGGATTCTGCTACTTTTTTTATGATTACGTAGGTTCATGCTCACGGCCCACCTGATGTTAAGCGGTTACCGAAGCCCATAGACATCTACAATGTAAATGCCGCCAACTACCTTGAAATATAAGTTGTAAGATCTCAGTATAGTTACAACGCCTGCTCCAGCCTTCAAACCGAAACACGTTACTGTTTCACGGCAGAAATAGGCAGGGTGGTGGTGCCTACCCGTGCGGACTCACAAGAGGTCCTACCACCAGTAAATTAAAGTAACTTGAGGTTGGAGATCAGTTTTAGTTTGCCCACTACTTCTCTATGAACAGAGTTCTGCTCCTGTTTATATGTTTCCCAGGCTCGGTAGGACAAGAGACTTTCCGGTGAGATTGCTTAAAATTAATTTGTTACGAAAATTTTATTATCTTTCGAGCGACGCTACGTTTTAATCATATTTCGACAATCCCTCAAGACCAAATGTCCTTCTCTTAGTTGTCTTATTTAATTTTTGTTTTATTTTTCTACTTTCAAAAGCTATCTTCTATCAAAGAACACTTGTTGGGTTATTATTACTAACGTCCGCGTGTGTTTGTTTGTGTGTACGTGTTTACTATTTCCTTTCCAGATCAATTAATTAACTAAAGCTTTCTCTTCAAATAATATTTTTATCATTAATACTAATACTGATACTATAATAATATTATTATTTATAAGCCACATAATCAGACTTACTTCTCCATTAAGTCCATTGTCTTTGTAATGTTTGACTAAAGATTAACTTTTGTTTTAGATCATAATATATCAATTTAATTTTAAGTATAAAAGAACTATTGGAATTTAAAACTATTTTGTTAATAAGAATGTGTTGTTTTTTTTTTGTTATAATGAATTAAGTACCGTAGTGTAATTGATTGAAAAAGAAAAAAAATTAAAAAATATTGTAATACAAAGTAAGCAATCACGTTGTTTTTTAAAAAAAATAATTCCATAATATTTTTGTGTTCTTGTACATTGTCTTTCAAAGAGGTAATGAACGTGGAATATATAATTAAAAAAAAAAAAAACTTCACCGACATTGTCGATAACAAATAGATAATCTTTAGTCAATCAAATCATATCTAATACATTTTGTTATTTCGTTCGTTTTTAATAATTACACATTGAGCTCTTAATTTTGCAAACAGGATATAAAATATGCTTCTCTTGAATTGAGAAGTAATTGATAATAAAGTCTTAGGAAAACTCAAGATACTGTTTCGAATCGATTTCAAAAAAATAGCTGTTATTTATTTATTATTCAAATCAAATCAAAAAAATTTATTCAACATAAATGAAAGTACATACTTGTTGAACGTCAAAAAGAACTACCGCCAATTCACAAGAACTAGCCTCCGTCCTGAGAAGAACTGGCAAGAAACTCAGCAGGCATGTCTTTTTTTTAATGTTAGATTTTTTTAAATATTCATTATTACAAGATGTATTATAACGTTACAATTATTGCAATATTGAAATGCCCGGAGCGAGTAACTCATTCCCACCCATTCATTGCCTTAATAAGTAGACGAGCGTACGGCCCACCGGGCGCTGAGTGGTCACAGATGCACCCGGACATCAGTAAAGCCAGAGGAACAGCTCAGCCGCTGTCTACCATTTTAATTTTAGCGGAAATCGGCTGTGAACGTTCTATTTAAAAGCACCCCCATTACACAACCCAATTGAGACTTCCAGCTCATGTCTCAGGGTAGGCTTACATAGTGATGTCCGATAATCACTCAACAAAATTATAATTTGCGTAATTACTGGTGGTAGGACCTCTTGTGAGTCCGCGCGGGTACCACCACCCTACCTATTTCTGCCGTGAAGCAGTAATGCGTTTCGGTTTGAAGGGTGGGGCAGCCGTTGTAACTATACTGAGACCTTAGAACTTATATCTCAAGGTGGGTGGCGCATTTACGTCGTAGATGTCTATGGGCTCCAGTAACCACTTAACACCAGGTGGGCTGTGAGATCGTCGACCCATCTAAGCAATAAATAAATAAAAAGTTTAGTAATAACAAGTAAGTAGGTTAATCATTTAGAACTATTGATATGACTATCTATCTATAGGTGGTATAAAAATACTGTATCATACATGAGTATGCCTGCACATTGAAGAAGCTATGAGCATTTTTTGTGTAGTAGTTTCTTTCCGTACATGGCCGCCTGGAAGAGATCGTTCTAAGTAATAGGGCGGCCAATTGTAATACTTTTTAATTGTTATTTTAACGGTTACTACTCTTTTTTGTATATGCACTTTTTTGTCTGTAATTTTAATGAAACTTTAAACTCCCAATTTAAGCAGATTCATAATATTATCAAATTACATGATAGTGAAACAATAAGCTTACTTTGACGTATATGTGTAGTTTTGTGATCCTTTATATGTACGTTTGTAATGAAACTTTGTACATAATATGTTGGAACTTCAGGGATGATTACTGTCATAGTGCCATCAATTTACACCAAGAGTAGTTCCAATGAATGAGTTGGAATCATACATCAAATGGTTTTTCGTTGAACGTAGCCTATTTTCAATAGTAATTTATAAATACAAGGTAGAAGACATTTTCTGAAGAATCCAAAAAGATAGTCCTCAGATTAGACCTAGAGTTATCTAAATGAGGTTTAGAAAAATTGTGAATCATTTGAGTTAATATTCAAAGTTTCAAGCGCATCCCATTATTGTTGGGCGTCTCCAAGGGACCTCTGACTTCCCCGTCAGGCCTTTGTTTGTGGTGAGCGTAATGGCTCCTACGGACTACAGGACAAGCGCAATTTCAAACTAATTTTCTTGTTCTCTTCCACGTACAATTTTAATAAAATGTATAATGTCCCAACAATGCAATACAACTCTGGTCAGGCTGTACTTTCTGAAACATATCGACAATAGAGATGCATTGCATCTCGCCAGCCCGTTCTGACCGATCCACTTCGCGATCCTATTCTACTATTGGTTGAAGACGATCGCAGGGAACTTCTTTTGTTAAAGGCTTTAACTTCATCCAGACTGTCTTACTGAGGTGGATGGATAGGGAATGACAGTATTCTTGAGAGATCAGTAAGACTTTTTAAAATTAAAAACGTCACGCTTTCAAAGTTATGAGCTGAATGTATTCGGACACGCGCGGGAGTGATCCGAGTAGGGCGTCGCTGAGCGTTGTAGTGTCCAGGAGGTGGAGGCGGCGTCCCGAGCTCGGAGACCAAGGACAAGCCCCCGCCGGCGCAGCAGAAACGAGCCTCGCCCCACCACCTGCCGACCAGCGGCTTCCAGCCCTACAGACCGGACGAGAGGTTGGTTATTGACACGTTTTGTAATTAAGAAAACTAGTGATCGCCCATTAGTCGAAATTGGAACATTATTATCAATTTAAATTATAGGTTTGAACATTATTATGGTTCTATTGACTAAAGACTTTACTTCTATAATCACAGATTTCGCCAAGACTATATAATGTATTTTTATGCATAATAAAAAAAATGCATTCTGCACTCTTTCTCTATATTCTCTTGAAGTCTGGGAAAATTCTCCGTCCGCGCAATTTTTGTAAAAAGGGTTACAAAGTTTTTGCTCCAAGTTTTACTTTACTTATATAGATACTAATACTTATATATGTCCTGCTACATAATAAATACAATAGACTTCCTCATTCATTATAAATAGGTTGGTCTTATAGGTATAGGTATAGGTATTATAGAACTTTAGAACATAGACATCACGCAGGGTGCACGGTATACTATGAGCAGTAGACCGCAGACAGCTGCGTATATAGAGCCAAGGTGTAAAACCGAAAGAGTAGGATTGACGGTGACGTCCTGCGGGGATGATCATTTATTCGGTAACAGTTTGCCGATGACCCACGTGACATTGACTAATTACTGAACCTAATGGAAGCCGTATGTATTATTGTCATAGACACTGAAACGAGAGGCCTAACTCCTAATAGCCATCAAAAATTTACTGGCGGTCGGACCTCTTGTGAGTCCGCACGGGTAGGTACCACCACTCGACCTATTTCTGCCGTGAAGCAGTATTGCGTTTCGGTTTGAAGAGTGGGGCAGTAACTATACTGAGACCTTAGAACTTATATCTCAAGATGGGTGGCGCATTTAAGTTGTAGATGTCTATGGGCTCCAGTAATCCAGTACTCCAGTGTATTGTAGTTGGGTACGCCTGCATGCAACTATAAAGTGAACTATTGATGTTGCAGATTATCGCATCCTGCGGCGCCATCGTTTCCACTGTTGGAGCCGTCTGCCTATTCGCCGTACGCCCACCCCAGTCTGTATTCTAGCGCCGCCCTCCAATACAGGTACAGTTTGTGTTTGCTGTGAATAGGACAAATAAATTAGCTCAGGAGCTCCTTGATAAAGAAGCGGCAGGGGTTCCAGATGCGCCCTCACTTCGTTAGCCAAACGATATGTACAGTAGGCGCGCGAGTTTATGTCCATCCTGAGGAATGCGGTAGTGCTGTGACCTAGTTAATTATGGTAATGTCGATAATAACTACCGATTTAGTCAACAGCTTTCAAATTTGGTTTAAAGTAACTTAAGGTAATTTTGCAATTTATAAAATAAAATAAATGTGATAAGTAATTACTTGTTTATTTCTAATAGAGAAAAATATTTTTAAATTCCAATTCAATCACTATCAAATGAAAAGACAACAGGCAGATCAGAGTCGGAATCAGTATGTATCTTTTTTCAGTAGGTTTTTTTCTATCTCAACTTGTTGGAAGCGGAGTAGTCATGGTTAAATAATACAACAGCGTTAGCGTGAATTTTCTATATCGATAAGCACGCGTCACAACCGTCAAGGACAACACTCGACGTCAGACAAATGCGGGGAGGCGGGCGGAGGTGGGGCGAGCTGTCCCCCGCGCGTCGCCTCTGGCCCCGATGGACATGAACTCGCGCGCATACAGTATCTGCCACACATAAAAGCTACGTTTTCAGATAAAACATAGATCAGGTTTTAACTAAGGACACATGTAATGACAGTTCTCAATAATTATATATCACTGAACACCGTTCTACGCTCACCTGTAACCAATAGTCTTTAAGGATGTATTCTTCTGTTTCACTGTGCTTTTATCTTCAATTTATATCGCTTTGTTTCGCTTTAAGCTCTCGACTAGAACTTCACTTTACCTTTATGTACATATGTCGCACGCAACCTTTTTTTTTTATCCCTACCTATTCGTCGGTAGCCTAATGAATAATATCAATAGTGATATAATCAAATGGGTGTAATGAGTGTCAACATGCAAAAATTCATAGGCACGTTAAGTCAGAATATAGTCCATTTTCTTTAGCGGATCGTTTTACACACATTCACGTTGATATTGTTGGGCTATTGCCGATTTCTACACAAGACTATAGATATCTTGTTACAATAGTATATCGAGTTACAAGGCTGGCCTGAAGCTTCTCCCGTAAAGGATATTAGCGCAGAAACAGATTTTTTTATCTAAATAAAAAAATCTTACTGAACAGTTGATCGTTGTCAGATCACTAGTTCCAATAGTGTTTTTATGATAACGGTTTATTTCTGTAGTCAACCGATAAAGCGTTCCGGTTCGTGTTGTGATATCGTAAAGTCGCCGTGGTAGAAACGATAATACGTCCAAGTTTCTTTTTCGAGTAATTAAATACGTAATCAACACATACCAACATACTGTTCACGCATTACATGGTTTAATTAAAATGAAAACCGCAAAAAATTTAATTTGCGTAAATACTAGTGGTAGCGCGTCTTTCCAGCTCACGTCGCTGCCTCTAACCACTTAACTTCGGGTGGACAGTAAGCTCGTTTACCCAACCTATCAATTAAAAACGTAATGGTAATTATAATGAAGGTATAAATAATGGAATGGTATAAATAATGAAGCTAAAGTTATAATTTGCTCTTTTTCTATAATTTATTTAATTGAAATTGTGTATTTCCTTATTTTGCTACACTAAAGCAAAGCCTCGTTCATTAGTTAAAGTGATTTCGTTTCGATCCACCAGGATAGCAGCAGAGGAGCAGATGTACTTGGAGCGGGTGTTCCGCAGCGGGGTCGGGGTGGGCTGGCTGCCGCCCTACGCGCTGTACCCGCCCCTCGCGCCCCCGCTGCCCCTCGTCCACCCGCACGCGCACGCACACGCGCACGCACTGCACGACGAGCGCGACAAGGAGATCGCGCTGCAGCGGGAGCGGGACAGGGAGCGAGAGCGGGAGCGGGAGAGGTGAGCTGCGTCCAGCATTTACAAGCCCGGATTAGTATAGTAGAATAAGCCAACTGTTTTTCCAAAGCATACAAAAAAGCTCTATGTACACAAAGTTAAATAAATCGGAGCGGTGACACAAAAAGGACTTTGATATCTATGGGCTCCGGGATGATTATATGAATGTTTAATGAGAGGATCCATAGGGGGCCAGGCTCGCTGTATACGTGCTGGTACATTTGCTTGTGATACTTTTGTGCTTTTATTATTGTTAGTTCGATGAGAACTGAGACACGTAACTAAATCTTGTGACGAACAGCAGGACTGATTATTGATGGGATCTTGACAGGCGCTTCGACCACAAACAGTAAACAATGAACATCGCACTTTTCTTTTTCAGGGAACGAGAAAGAGAAAGAGAACAACGCGAAAAAGAACAGAGAGAACGCGAGCGCGAGCGAATGCACCGGGAGAAGGAGTCCCGCGCCCGGGAGGCCGTGCGCGAGGAGCAGCGGGCGCTGGCGGCCCTGCACGCGCACCCGCACCTGCTGCCGCCCTCCGTGTACTCCCTGCCGCGCCCGCTGCTGCCGCCGCCGCTGCTCTACCGGCCCGCCTACCGCCCCTACCCGCCCTACGAGCCGCGCCCGCACCCGCCCGCCGAGCCCGCCCGCACGCCCACCCCCACCGCGCCCGCACCCGCGCCCCCCGAGCCCGCGCCCTCCCCCGCCAAGCCCGACGAGCCGCCAGGTGAGGAGCCCGCGCCCGTCTGACCACCACAGCGCTCGGGTGTGTGACGTCAGCGCGCGTGACGTCACGGGGCGCCACCCGGACCTACACCCGGAAACTCATTTCGTGATCGTTTTATGAATATAATTAACAAAAAAATCTTTTCAGTTGAAATTATTCTAATTTATCGATAAGTGTAATATAATAGTGTTTATACATCGTGCTCGATATTGTTATGGGGACACGTCTTCATCTCGCGTTACATAATGGCGATAGTTGAGTAACTTTTAATAAATTTAATAAAACTGATTACAATAACAAAAATCTAACAAAGACTGTAGGATATTTTTGTTACCAAAAACGAATTACGTTTGATTCTCTGCTAAACTTTAGTTAAGAAGTAGAAAAATTTCACAGAAAATAAGAAATTAAATTTTTAAAAATATTTGTATAAATAGAAAAAACAACAGAAGCTATGGACATGTACATTATCTTACATAATAATTAAAAATGCCTCTAAAACAACGAAATTAAATAATTACAAATACCTAATGAACACACTGCCGTTTTATATACTTCAATTACTATTTACACAAGTAAGGAACTATTGCAACAAATTTATTGTCGTATAAAAATGTTTTTCTAATGCGAAAAATATTTTTATGAAATCACTTGTTTGTTTAGTCCTTTGCAACGAATTGTCGGTCGCGTCCGGAAACGTTGAAGGCGTGCTTCTGACAAGCGTACAGCTATATTGTCGTCTTGATGATTGCGACAGTGTAAGCCACAGGGCCCCTCGTGCCGTCCCCCTCAACCCGATCCCCCCGGTCCCCTATCCTAGGTCCCCTCTGCCCGGTCCCCCCTCGTCCCGATCCCCCCACATCCCGGTTCCTAAAAGTCTAATTTTATTAAACAGTTTTCTTGTCGACTATCGAAACTGCTTTTTCTTATTTAAGGAGCTTGTTTCCTTAACCGCAGAGTTCACAATCGTTATGGCAAGTGTAAACATCTGCCACACGCGCCTTACGCTGTCGCCAATCGTCTGTTGTTTGAATATTATGGTGATTTTGGCCTATCTGTGTATCTGTGTACTCGTAACGAGCGCCGAGTGTTGTGCTGCCAATAGATTATCGATTTTGTTTAATCGATAATGTTTTTTTTTGTATTTGTGCGACGCAATACAATGTGTCGTTGAATATGTTGTTATGATTTGTAATTAAAATGAAGATGTACACGTATCTATCTACACGTCTCTCTGAACCGACGGCGGTCGGGTTGAGTATTATTATTCTGTTATCGATAATAGATTTTTTATTTGAAAAAAAAAAAAAAACTGCATTACATGAATAAAAAATCTTTGATCGATAAAGAAGCACGATATAAAAAAAATAGGGTTATTTTAATAAAAAAAAAGTAATTCACTACGCTTATAGTCATTTCGAAATTGTGACCGCGAAGTAAGTAAGGGTGCGCGCGGACGACGCTGCCTGGAGCATCGCGCCGCCGCCGCGCCGTGTGTAATGTACTTGTGTATAAATATTAATTATTAATTATAATAGTCCCGTCGTTTTTGGTATATAATTTTAATGTATTTTCGCACTTGATCATGTAATTAATAATAATAATAATAATTTGGTAAATCGATTCCCGAGAACGAATCGATACATTGGCTTTGATACTTACGGATTTTAATCGATGTGTTTAATCGATTTTGTTTTTGTATTCGTTCGCGGCTCTATGTTAAGTCGTCTGATGTTATATATCTATATTGAACTGCGTTTGTGATATGAGGTGCCGCGGCAGCACGCGACGCAGCATCCGTCGAGCTATTCATTAGGTGTTCAAATAGTTTTTTTTGTAATGTTTTTTTTTTTTCGTTTCGCATTTATGTACGCGGACGTGCGGGTCGCGGCCCGTGACGTCATGTAAATATATAATTTAATAGTTAGATACGATGTGGACAATACCTAACAAGTGAATGAGATGAGAAACCTGATTTTATTGAGAATACATTCAATGAAATTAAACAAAAAACTTTTTTTTCATTGCATGCTTCACCCGANTTTTGTAATGTTTTTTTTTTTTCGTTTCGCATTTATGTACGCGGACGTGCGGGTCGCGGCCCGTGACGTCATGTAAATATATAATTTAATAGTTAGATACGATGTGGACAATACCTAACAAGTGAATGAGATGAGAAACCTGATTTTATTGAGAATACATTCAATGAAATTAAACAAAAACTTTTTTTTTCATTGCATGCTTCACCCGAGAGCGTTAAGCGAGTGTGTGACCTAAGTGTACCTGCAATATAGATCATATTTCTGTAAAAAATATATTTCAGACTTGCTCGCATGACACGCATCAAGTGTGCTTTGATGCGGGTCAGGGGGGCTGCGGGCTGGCGCGGGGTTGGGGGGGGGTGCGCCTCATCTCCTAATAAATACGTACTCCGCTATACGTTCTCGGTTATTTTGTTGATTTTTTATTTATTTTGAACCTTATCCCCTTCCCTTCAAGGCTTATAATAGCGCATGTAGTTAGCGATGTATTGTTGTATGCTTTGATAGATGATTTATGTTTGATGAACATATCTTTAGATGGGTAATGCGATGTTTGTGATCTCCGTTCTCTAATAATTGCCATAGTGTAATTCTGTAGAGCGAGTCGCTGTAGGTATCCGCGGAGGGCTCGGTCCCCCGGTCCACGGCTGGAGTGTGGGCCACGCGTACCAAAACATTGATGAGTTTTCGATAAAACTAAAAACTCAGTTATTTTTATTTATTGCGTAGATGAGTGAACGAGCTCACGGCCTACCTGATTTAAAATGATTACCGGAGCTCATACAGGTCACATCCCGAAAGCTGCTACATATCTTGAGACATGAGGTCGAAGTCTCAATTGTATTTTGTAACGGGCCTAGCCTCAAACAGAAATGCGGGTCTGCTTCAGAGCAGAGATATAGCGCTGTGGTACCTTCCCGCGCGGACTCACGACGCACCCTACCGTCTGTGAATAATTGTGACGTCTTTTTATTTTTTACAGCTTAGATGGGTGGACGAGCTCACAGCCCACCCGGTGTTAGATGGTTACTAGAGCCTATAGACATCTACAATGCAAATGCGCCACCCACCTTGAGATATAAGTTCTAAGGTCTCAAGTATAGCTATAGAGCAGATCGCGGGCCCAAGGATTTTAGGGCCCACCCACTAAACGACTCCCCTGCACTCTTACACCCGACGTCCGATCTCCGTACGGGGTCAGAACCCGGTCAGAGTAGGGGGGTTCCTGCGGTCAACACTACAACCAGACACGCGGCGCCACCCCGAGGACGCCCGACCGACGGGTCGGCGAGGCGATAGTCGACGACCAACGACGTCGGTCTCCGCGGTACGGCGGCCCTACCAGGCCGCCCGGGCCCCAACCTTTCAAACTGAAACGCATTACTGCTTCACGGCAGACATAGGCGGGGTGGTGGTACCTACACCTGCGGACTCGCAAGAGGTCCTACCACCAGTAAACGTCATTATGGAAGTCATAGTTAATCGACCTGACACTTCATATATATGAATAGGATAATCCCGGACAGTTTGTGCGATCGGATCTAGTGCAATGCATCGCGGTGGATAAACGTATTTTAGGCTGAAGGCAATATGTATATTAAGTTAAAATCAGCTGACGCCTGAGGTCATTGACCTCGTGTGGCGCCCAGAAATGTTTATTTTGATTGTCAATTTACGAAATAAGGCCTTACTGTTTAAAGGGTCAACAAGTGTCCCAAATATTTGCTCAGCCTTCCAGAGGTAGCAGTCAGGTTGTGGTGTCTACAGCCGGTAACTTTACCACCAGGCGGCGAGCGGATAGGCAGCCTATAGGCTATAAAAAATGAACTTACCATTATGGGTATACTCTTCTTCTTCTTCTTCTTCACAGACGGCCACTGCTGGATATATTATAATATGAGTATAATCTATCCATCTATAAATAAAAAAATGAATTGCTGTTCATTAGTCTCGCTAAAAGTCGAGAACGGCTGGACCGATTTGGCTGATTATGGTCTTGAATTACTTGTAGACGTGCAGAGAAGGTTTAAAAGGTAGATAAATATAAAAATACCAGGAATTAAATAAAAATAACAATTTTGTTTTTCCTTTGATGTGTCCCCCGTCGGACGGATTCCTTTTGTTTGTTTTAAGTTTATTTTATACAAAAGCTTAGGTCTTTTATTTATCGATTGAGGCACTACGAAGTCTGCCGGGTCAGCTAGTCATTTATAATTAACTCTACAAGGTAAAGTTTGGATATAGTTTGTTACTACCGTCTTAAAATAGTTGCGCAAAACAAAAAGTTGCTTAGCGCAAGTTGATTCATTTAAGTATGACATCATCTGGAGCCAAAATAAGTGACGGTAGTGGGTAGATCTGCATTAATAAGAAATGACTGCCCATTCCACATGATGCGTTGTGATTAGTGTTTATGTTGACGAGAAGAACTGACACATATGATATAATTACTTTGTGATTTCAATCATTGGATGATCGGTTTCATTTATATATTTACTAAGACATGTAAGGTTCAGTATGTTGTTTTTTTTTATTGTTTACATGGGTGGACGAGTTCACAGTCCACCTGGTGTTAAGTGGTTACTGGAGCCCATAGACATCTACGACGTAAATGCGCCACCCATTCTGCGGTAGGCAGCGGCTTGGCTCTGCCCCTGGCATTGCTGAAGTCCATGGGCGACGGTAACCACTCACCATCAGGTGGGCCGTATGCTCGTCTGCCTACAAGAGCAATACAAAAAAAACCCACCTTGAGATATAAGTTCTAAGGTCTCAGGTATAGTTATAGCTGTGTTGTTGCCAGCTGTGTCGTTTTTGCCTTTTGGCTGTTAGCGGGTACTATAGTATTATTCCCGTGAAGTATTGCTGTCCATTTTGGGTACCTAACTCTGTGATAGATTCTGAAAACTGAATACCGTTTTCAGATGCCAAAAATATTTCAACCAATAAAGAAATTGCTCAATTTTCTCCTACCTAATCGTTGGTAGCATAAGGGGCTATTCCAACTTCGCCCGAACTGGTAGGTGAGCATAGGGGCTTAACTGAAGATCCGCCGAGTGGCCGTTCAGTGGGCGAAGAAATTGCTGTTTGAATCGAGAAGTATAAAAAGCGCAGACTGGATTCCTTCAAACTATACATTTTTCGGGTGTGATGTTTTACTGCACGATCTTATTCCCTAATCGTGGAACTCGCGTTTTTTCTTTGTTTTCTTCGTTATTTTCTTATAAAAATGGGCGCCTGCTTGTGCGATTTGTGTGGACGTTTCTAACAGCTATCATTACATGTGTATGAGTGTGCTCTTAGTAATATGTATAGGTATCTCTAATAAAAATTGAAAACTCTCTTTTGACTTGTCTCCGCAGATAAAAGATGTTACTCCTTAGAATTCGAATTTTATAAGATAAACTATGATGAGACAAAATCAACGAGTTATACAATTTAAAAACAAAATCGTCACAAAAGAAATGAACCTCTTCTCATCTGTTGTCTATCAGTCAATGTCACACCTTTCAAGAAACATTAGGGAATGTCGTCAGTACATTTGGAACATAGCAGACTGGCAATTTGTTGCAAACGTCAAACGAAGATTTTATACCTAAAACACGTACAAAATGCAATCACATGGCAAGGCCCATACCAAACTTACATGACATATCTAGGTTAAATGAAGAAATTAAGCCAAAGGACTCTAAAACAGTTTTAGACTTGGTTATCGACAATGTAAGAAGTAAATCTTCTAAAGATTTGGTTTTCGGAACTTTAACGGGATGGATGACAGGCATAATGGTCGTCAAAGTGGGAAAAGTGGCTGCTTTTGGACTAGGCGGGAGTGTGTTGCTCCTCCACATAGCCTGCGAGTACGGGTATATATGTGTTAACTGGGAACGCATCAGAGAGTCTGCTGGTTCGAGTCACGTGTGGTTGGAGAAGCTGATAAAATTCGTTAAGAAGAACAGTTGTTTCTCTGTTGGGATGCTCGGCGGATTCTTCTTCGGCGTCGCGTCTACTTAATTTGGTTGAGGATTTTGTTCAATTATATTTTTTTGAAATGTAATAATAGCTTTAATGCAGTGTTTTCTTTAATGAGGTGCCTTATCTGCGTAATGTCTTCAAAATTAGTTTATTTTCTTTAACCACTTCAAAGGGTATATTGCGGTCATGAAAATAGTCAAATCAGACATTAACGGACTAACAAACCACGAGATTTTAAGTGATACCCGTACCCCAGAGACACTAAAACTTAATACAGCTCTCAATGTAGTCTCTGAGGTGCGAGTTTGAAGTCTAATTTGTTAATAGCTTGGAAAGCAGTAAGGTTTACTTGAATGAGATTTGGACACTGTCGTTCAAGAACATTGGCAACTGCAAAAGTACAGTCAAGACGCTGTCTACTACTTCCATAATAGATAACGCTGTCCTAACCCTTTGAACTGGAAGGCGTGAGTTACTTTGCTGCAGGACCGTTGTACCAGCCCGTGCGTACTCAACACGCCTCACCACCAGTAGTTGGCGGGGGGTTAAAACCAATAGACAAAATACAGTAAAACCGTATAAGATCGATGTCAAAGAATTATTTTAGGACAATACCTAATAGCACCTTAGCAATCAATAAATTAAAGAGCGGAGGGTTAGCGTGGTATGGACATGTGATGCGTAGAGAGGAGATGCATGTGGCTAGGAGATGTGTGGAAATGATAGTGCAAGGTAGAAGGGGAAGAGGTCGACCGAAGAAGACATGGATGGAGTGTATGAATGACGATATGAGAGAGAGAGAAGTGAGTGTAGAGATGACGGCTGAAGGAAGAATAGAAGAGAAAAATTAGCTGTGCCGACCCCACCTAGTGGAATAAGGTGAAGAAAAAGAAGATCTAACAGTGCCTGAGTAATCCCTGAGCATTTAAGGAGAGGCCTCAGTGTCATTAGCATTGTTGGTCTTCATAGAGGACAAGGACTGCTCACCTTTGAGTCGCAGGTAAAGTAATACAGTCAGGGCAGGCATGTACCTATCAGATTGGTTTTAGTTACTGGTGCCGCGTTGATCACATCATATTCTATTAAATGTCACTTTCTTCTAATGGCTAAGAACAGTATGTTGTAAATAACAGAGCTCGGAGGGAACTTACTGGTGGTATACTGGTGGTAGGACCTCTTAAAGGTCCGCGCGGGTAGGTACCACCACCCCGCTTATTTCTGCCGTGAAGCAGTAATGCGTTTCGGTTTGAAGGGTGGGGCAGCAGTTGTAACTATACTGAGACCTTAGAACTTATATCTCAAGGTGGGTGGCGCATTTACGTTGTAGATGTCTATGGGCTCCAGTAACCACTTAACACCAGGTGGGCTGTGAGCTCGTCCACTCATCTTAGCAATAAATATATAAAAACAGGCACTTTAAAATTCTTACTGTGCTTAATGTTCAGTTTATTTTTATTGCCTTCATAGGCAGACGAGCATACGGCCCATCTGATAGCGAGTGGTCACTATCGTCCATCACGTCAGCAACGCTAGGAGCACAGCAGTTTTTGCCTACGCAGGGGACTGTCCTCAATATAGGAAATCGATTTTATTGATAAGAGCGTCCAGTTTATTTTGCATTCTCGTTATATTTCTATCACCGACTCACATCAGCCAAACGATCTGCTGATCGGCTGGGATATAGGCAGTTCCGGAGCCCGTACACATCATGACGTCATTGCTCCACTTTGAGACTGAAAGGTCGAAATTTCAATTGGATTGTGTAAATCTCAATCTAGCCCTTCAAACGGTTTCAAAGCATGACCGATTCACAACTTAAATATTGAGCGTTATTTCAATTTACACTCGATTCGTCTGATTCCATCTTATATTTGAATACTAATAGATATTAAAGTAAGTATTTAGTAGCGTCAAACCCAAGACTAATAGATTAACATTTTATAAAACAATTCATTAATAATTTTCTGATTGTATGAACTGATTTGTATTAAGTAAATACTTACTGAAGGGGCCTTCTTACAATAATAGTATAATACAACGTGGTGTGACAAATACTAGATAAAATCGTGCTCTGTGTGCTTAGTGCGAGTTTCTTAACGTTCTCGATAGCGTAAAAGTTAGCTCATATTTGTATGGAAATCGATCGTTTGCGTACGTTTGCCGCTAGGGGCGCTGTTCCAACTCCATACAAATTTTAGCTAACTTTTACGCGATCGAGAACGTTAAAAAACTCGCACTAAGCACACTGGTGCTTAAACGTTTCACGTAGACCGTCTCCAAGGCGCGATATCGAAAACAGGACTAAACTCAAAATACCAAAAACTTTGAATCGAGACATCGTTTCAGGAATCGTGCTCGTACTCCCCGGTATAACTAGGTAATCACTATTGGTTTAGCTTTACTGCTATGGCAATGGCGCGACGATACTGTCTAAAATTATAATAAAAGATTGAAATTATAATCAATGTGTTTTATTTTAATGACCTTATTTCATAACTTTAAGATTGATACTCACATTCTGTTTTACGATAGATTGTTCAGGAGCTATGATGATGTAAAACTTACAGGGTAGCTGATTTGTGAAAAGGAGCGTGAAAATTGTTTCTTAGAAAACTAATATAAAATGTTGTACTTTATCTTAGTTAAGTAATTACTGTAGTCCATAGACACGTTAATGACGTCATTCAAAGCCGCATACTAAGACATACTTGCCATGATAAAGAAGTAACACCAAGCTAAAAATAACTAACAAGGACGTGTTAAGCTCGCGTCCAATGTAACAGAGTGCGAACTTCCTCCGTTGTAGGTAGCGGCTCCATCGAAATCCCGGTATTGGTGATGCCCATGAGTGCATGAGCACTCACTCATAGGAGTTCCATTTTCTTGCTTACTATGGAGAAAAGTGAGGTGAAAAAAAGGAAAATGGTGAGCGTGCAACTAGGTGCACGTGAAAGAAGTGAAGCTTCTGTTGCGGTGTGTAGTATTGTGGTTTTCTTTATTTTTCATCCTTAAATAAAATTAATCCTGTAATAAAGAACTCTGTGTATAAAAAAAACCACCTAGTTCGCTTTGTCCTTTCCCACTCTCCACGGTCGAGTGGTTCGCGAGACGCTCTATTTTCTCTCTCTCGTTCTTCCTAAATTGTATCTTTTCTCTCTAGCCATAACGAATTTGTCGCAAGTTAAATTTTACTCTCAATACTAAAGAAGTTTCACTTTATAAACTACGCAAATTACTAGGACCAATGCTATCCATATACATAGATATTTCAACAACACGTATCTCACAATTATACGTACGTTGAAAACAAAAAACTTGAACGCAAATAATATAAATATTAATACTATAAGATGGTATGGTATAGTATGTCCCCTTATTTGTCTAATGGATAGATGAACAAAAGCATAAGCAAGTGAAGTGAAGTGAAGCCTTGCCTAAGTAATTAGTTTTATGTGACAAATTATCTTTTTGTTCTTGTACTAATCCCAGATTACATGGGGTCGACTCAGCATGTCCTGTTATCATATTGCATTACGACCGGCCGCCTGCCCGGCTTCAACCCTGTCTTGGGTTATATCCGTATATCGACTGCGCATGCCACAAGGAGGGTCTTTTCTATTTGTTCGTTTGTTGTTTTTTTCACTGCATTCGTTTTTGGGTCTATGATTTAATTATTATAAATAGTGACAAATTGTCGTTATATTATTATTGTTTCACTACATTGACTGAAGAGTTTGAGATTTAATAAATTCACTCCGCCGCAAAATATAGATAATGTTCGGTACAAATATCAACTTGATACCTGTACTCGCTCCTGACAAAAAAGGTTGTTAAAAAAAGTCTTATGTGGTGCACCGACTTACAAACCGACAGCTCATTTAAGATTATTCAAGGGTTACAATTTTTTGCCTCAAAGCTTCCGTCGGCCTTGAAGTGAGCTGCACGTCTGGTTATAGTGTTGACCGCGTAATTCGCCTTACCTTGCCCGGATTTTATATCCCGCATTGGGTGAGAGTGTAGGGGAGTCGGTCAGTGGGTGGGTCTAACATCTTTGGCCCGACTTTTACTATGTCGGCGCGGCCCCTCAGCCTGCTAGGTTCGGTTCCGGCATTTTTGCATAATGAATGGTGGCGGCGCATCCTGAGCGCGTGTAGGTGCCGCCCTTGAATATGTTCAACAAATCTTGATGTTTTCGCATCAAATAAACAAATAACTACAAACGTCGTTAAATCCGCAATATTACTTTATTTCAATAAAATGTAATTTAATTTAATTATAATTTGCGTAATTACTCGTGGTAGGACCTCTTGTGAGTCCGCGCGGGTAAGTATCACCACCCTGCCTATTTCTGCCGTGAAGCAGTAATGCGTTTCGGTTTGAAGGGCGGGGCAGCCGTTGTAACCATACTGAGACCTTAGAACTTATACCTCAAGGTGGGTGGCGCATTTACGTTGTAGATGTCTATGGGCTCCAGTAACCACTTAACATCAGGTGGGCTGTGAACTCGTCCACCCATCTAAGCAATAAAAAAGAGTTTTTCGTAATACCATCCCTCATTTTTAATAAAGGCTTTCAACCTTTGGCCAGTGTTGTTGACCACAACACGCTGAATATTGTGATTTATATAACATAGCAGTGAATGCTTAAATTAGAGATGCTTTGAGACTTCAAATGCTGGTGAGGTTCACGTTAAGCGAAGGTTTTGCACTTTTTTTTTATTGCCGTATGGGCAGACGAGCATACGGCCCACCTGATGATGAGTGGTTACCGTCGCTCATGGAGGTCAGCAATGCCAGGCAGAGCCAAGCCGCTGCCTACCGCTTAATACTCTCCATAAGCCTCGTTTGAAGAAGGACATGTCATAGCGCTCGGGAAACACCGTGGAGGGGAGCTCATTCCATAGCCGGATGGTACGTGGCAAAAAAGACCTCAGGAAACGCACTGTGGATGACCGCAGTGGCTCCAGGTAGTATGGATGAACTCTACTCCAGTGGTGGGCGGTGCGATGGTAAAAGCGAGATGTCGGTATCATCTCGAACAATTCCTCAGAGAACTTCCATAATTTGCCGTATTTTATCATCCAGGGAGCTTAAGTCTGGGCTGGATAAGTTCGATTAGACGTACCCAATAGACTTCACGGGCTATTAGCCTGTTGTGCGTCCCTACTAAGCGATTTACAATTTTTTAGGAATACACAGGCCCGGTTTTCGAACATTCTGTGAATATAGAGTTTTCATAAAGTTTGCAAGGACCAATAAACACCGAAAAACACCTGTTAGTGCTGAATATGAAGCTCTAAACCAAACTACGAATCTAGAAAAAAAATGACTAAAAATTATTTTACAATTTTGTCTAGTTGTTTCTTTAAAACTTCTTCTCATGAGCGATAGTCCGTAAACCGCATCCAATACAAACAATTATAGATCGTATTTATTTATGATGCTCGATGGTTGGACAAGGTTATGGTCCAATTAATGTTAAGTGGTTACAGGAGCCCATAGCTATTACAAAGCGAAGCGTGAACACAAGTTATGGAAGCATTTCGTAATCAATCGGTATAGTTGTATTGCTTGATACAAATACACATTACTTCTTATCCTGAAGTCACGATGGTTTCAAAATTACACCATATGAGGATCTAATCGATTTTATAACCGGACTGTACGAAAGACTTGACCTCATGTCCAAAGGTCATGTGGCTTACGTCGTGATCGCTGTTTTCCGATAATTGCTTAACATCAGATAGGCTGAAAGCTTAATGATTCATATAAGCAATAACAAAGTCGTCGTGGCCTAAAGGATAAGACGTCCGGTGCTGGTTCCAATTTTTTTATGAAATACGTACTTAACAAATATTCTCGATTGACTGTGAATGAAGGAAAGGTGAAAGAATAAGATCGTGTAATAAAAATCAAACCCGCAAAATTATATTTTGCGTAATCACTGGTGGTCACCTCTTGTGAGTCCGCACGGGTGGGTACCATCACCCTGCCTATTTCTGCCGTGAAGCAGTGCCAAATGCGTTTCGGTTTGAAGAGCGTGGCAGCCGTTGTTATAAGTGAGACCTTAGAACTCATGTTTCAAGGTGGGTAGCGGCATTTACGTTGTAGATGTCTATGGGCTCAGTTAACCACTTATGCCGCCGTGGGCTGGTCCACCCATCTAAGCAATTAAAAAACGGCCAGCAGATAACACCAAGAGCAAAATTATGGGCGGCTTTTAATCCAAACCAAGCCATCGCAGGCGTTGTCTATATGGCTTTTGATAATATTGAGAAGGTCTCTAGTTGAAGAGTGGGTTGAACAATGCAATTTTTAAAAAAGGCAAACGTATAAATAACCTTAATTAGAAAATAGATTGAATAGCACCTGAGCGGTAGTAGTTGAGCAGTAGTTTACTTGCTTTATAGATATTTGATGTTGCGATCTCCATTCCCAATGTGCATGTAATTAGTTTAATTTGATTACAGACCGCTTTATCATTACAAATATCACAGAGAAGTGTCTCATGTCCTCAAATCACATATAATGTACAAATACTATGTAGTATTATGTTTAAGAAACATTAAGATCGTTACAGTTAAGTCAGAGGTCCTTCTGACAATAAAATAATTTCAGAATAGATAGATTCTTAATTCATATATCGGATAAAGGTATTTGAGAGATACGTTACTTCAATATAAATTTAGATGAAACAAAACCGATTGATTTATTATGTTAAAACCAAAATCACCATAATAAGATCTCCAAGCGACATTTCATGAAATTAAATCTTCCTTTATGTTTTCAGCTGAGTCAGTGCTGGTGCAGCCAATGCAGCTCTCATCATCACAAGAAAAGTACGGTCTAAATCTCGTGAAGAATCAAAACCCAGATGATAACATTTTGCAAAAAGCTTTTTTAGATAAAACCACCCATTCCTCAATATCGCCATCCGATATATTAAACCTAAATCGTAGGGAAAGTACTAGTAAGCCCTTGGACCGAGACTATCATGATTACGATGACTATCGACATTCATTTGCAGGATGCTCAGCTTTCAATTTTGTACGTGATCCTGAAGTTCTGACGGTTTCTACAATGAAAGACGCAAGCTTAAACTCACCCGGACATGAGCAGTACATCACTGTGAATCGTCCTGTTAAAGATTTAAAAAAGCATTTTAATCCCGAAGCCTTCGAAAGTAATGACCCTGAAATTTGTGAAAAAGAACTTCAAGATCTTAGTATATGTGATGACAACGAACCAAGACATTTAAGTGAAGTTACTGAAAAACTACTAAACCAGAATCGACTAGACATTAATAGCACGACAGACGACGGTCAGTGCAGTAACGATTTTGCAGTTGAAGATACCAAAGCCCCGACATGCTATTATGAGAACAGAGTTAACAATAAAACTCCGTGTGACAATGACGACATCAAAAAGCGCGAAAAGAGTCCAATTGTAGAACCAAGTAAACCTACTGTTGATTACAGTCGATACAGTATTAAGAACCATATTCTTAATCGTTTTAAAAAGGAATTAATCGCTGCTAAACTGAGTAAACAACAGAATGAGCATAATGAAATTAGCGAGAAACCGTCTTTACCAGAACAGCCAAACTCTAATGATAAAACAACGGATCTGTCCCATAAATTACTGGAGTCGTATCAAAATCGCTTAAATGAGAAATTAGATAACAGAAATAAAGGCGACATAGAAGCAGTTGTGGAACTTAATCGATTTGAGAATATATCACCTGATGATGATCTTCAGCCATTTGAAAACAGGATATTAATGACACCCAGATTTAATGATGGCATACCCATGATGAATTATAGTCAAGTTTTCGAACAATACCCTGACAATGATCGTCAGCATTCTATTAATGAGAGAACGACAGCTGAACGAGATGAATATAATGATGATACAATGGCGGAGTACAATAGATTTAATAATTGTTTATCTCTAGCGGACCACGATCAAATTGATCTTCCTCTGCGATTTGATAACACAGTTCCTTTAGACCATACCAGATTCAGGAATGAGTTCGCTATGGCCGGGCCGAATCAAAGTAATGAGAATTTATTCAGTGCGGAATATAACAGATTTATGATTGGATATCCTGAAATAGAGGAGCATCGTTTTAGTAATGAATCATCAACAAGCAAATACAGTACGTTGAAACAAAATACAGAGTCCAAAATATTCAATGACATCAAATCTGCGGACGAATATAGATCCCTGAACAGATACCCAGAGGTGGTGCATCAACGTCCAAATACTAAGAAACCTTTTATGTTCACCTCATTATTTGAAAGCAAATACCCTAGAAGTGTTGCTTATATCGATAGATTCTCTGAAATCGAACAGCGTTTGGATAACAAACTAACAATCGCCGAATACAACAGAGCCAAAGAAAATTTTTCTGTTTCCGCACAAACTGTCTGCAGCGAAGAAATATCAGTAACTGACCACGCTCGATGTATCGACGATATATCAATAACTGATCGTAACAGACTACTCGACGACATGTCTGTAACCGATCGCAATCGGTTCCTCCATAGCATGGAAGCGGCGGATCGTAACAGGCTCATTGAAAATATATCAGTGACAGATCATCATCAGTTCAATGACAGGTTAAATGACATAGACCGACGATTTAACAACAATATATCAGTAACAGAACGGAACAGATTAAATTACAACATGAGCCCTGATCACATTANACTACTCGACGACATGTCTGTAACCGATCGCAATCGGTTCCTCCATAGCATGGAAGCGGCGGATCGTAACAGGCTCATTGAAAATATATCAGTGACAGATCATCATCAGTTCAATGACAGGTTAAATGACATAGACCGACGATTTAACAACAATATATCAGTAACAGAACGGAACAGATTAAATTACAACATGAGCCCTGATCACATTAGCTTCGTTGATCGATCTCCCGAATATCAGCGCTGCAGCCCAGTGAGTCATATCGGAGACAGCTCGAGGACATCTGAGAATCAAGATCGGTACCTTGATGGAACACCTGACACTCCAATTAGTTATCCAGATAGTATTTCTCTTACAGATTATAATCAATTTGTGAGTAGGTTTCCTAGTGCTCATCACCAAAAACCTAATCTATCAATTGAAGATCAAGAAAGACTGAGAGAACCATATTTTGCTGAATATCTTAGATTTAAAGATAAAATATCTGTGATAAACAGGACCAATAAAGATAACTTTAAAGACAAGGTACATTTGGTTGATGAGGATAGGTTAGAATCTAACAGATTGATTGAGAAAGTTTCGATGAATACAATACAAGAGCAAAATAGACTTGATAATAAAAGGATTACTGCGTCTATATCAAAGGAAAGTCTATTAGACAACAGTATATCTATGCCATCTGTAATAGGATTTAAACGTTACGTTACTGATGAAAAACTAACCCCGTCTTTAGTAGAGCGATGTCGATTAAGTGAAGAAATAGTACCTATTGTATCTATTCCAAACCGTGTTCCAAACAATGAAAAAATATCTATGCCATCTATGCCCGAATTCGGCCGTTTGGTAATCGATGAAAATCCGATACAATCTATAGAAGAAAAAAGTCTATTCAATGAAGATAAGGCTATGCCATCTAAGTCGGATCACGTTCCAACCAATGACAAAAAGCTTCCATCTACAGGAGAATCGGGTTATTTCTACACCGATGAAAAGACAAAAGGGTCGCTAGGACAGCAAATTCAATTAAATGAAAACAAATCAATTGTATCAATGGCGGATCATGTTAGGAAAAACGAAAAAAAATTTACGCCATCAAAGTTAAATTCTGATCGTTTTATTATCAATGAAAAAGCAACTAAGCTCTTGGATGAGAATTATGAAGCTACACCAGATAACAAGTTAAATGAAAAAGTGCCAATGGAACCAATGCAGTCTCATAGTGGGTTTAATGACAAAATGTTATCAACTGTGATGGAGCATAATTTATCAATTGACAAAATCCCACCAGTTTTTTCGGCAGAGTATAATCGGCTAAAGAATAAAATGCCATCTGTTGAAATAAGGTTAGATGATCAACCCATTATAGTATCTAAACCCGAAAATGACGGGTCAGATGGCAAATTGCCTACTCCATCTACAGTCGTATTTAATGAAATTATTGACAAAATGACAATGAGACCGATGCCGGAAGAAAAGCGAGTAGATGAAAATATGACGAAAGCTACTTGCAAAACGCCTGTGCTAGTTAAGTCAGACTTCAATCCGGTGCATACAGAAATAGCTGTGCCACCGTCATTTACAAATGACACTAAGCAATTAAAAGACAAAAAAAAACTGCTAACAAAACCAGTAGTGTTTCAAAAATTAACTGAGAGAGTGTCCTCATCTACAATTGAAGGCAATCAATGGAACGATAGAATTCCTTTGGGATCAACGGCTGACTTAAAGAACAAATCGCTTGATATAGCGCCTATAACATCGGTGGCGGAACAGAGGCCATTGGACGCCGAAGTACCGAAAAGTGAACATAAAATTAATAATGATAGCATGATACCTGCGGCATCTAGTCTGGAGCGTGAGGTGAAATCACCAGTAGAACAGATTGAATTAGGTGACAAAATACCCAAAACATCAATAGCAGAATACACCAGATTCCATAATGAAAAACCGATACCATCTCCGCAGAAGTCAAATGATAAGACATGTAGGACACCACCTATCCAACTTGATCAATTAAACTATAAATTTTCGCTAGAAAAAAACAGAACAAACGATAAGCCTGAAAATGATCGGTTATTTGACAGCTTACTAAAGACTGGACAAGAAGAATTCGACAAGAATTTATCCTTGGCGGATCCTAGCGGATTCCATACCAGTAATCCGATACCAACTCCACAGAAATCAAATGACAAAACATGCACGGCATCACCTATTCAGCGTGATCGGTTAAACCATGAATTTTCGATAGAAAAAAACCGATCAAACGATAAGTCTGAAAATGATCGGTTATTTGACAGCTTACTGAAGACTGATCAAGAAGAATTCGACAAGAATTTATTATTGGCGGAATATAATAAATTTAAAGAAAAATCTATGCCAGACAACAGCCAATTGATAAATAAATTTTCTTTAGTATCTATCGCCGATCAGGATGGATTTAATAAAACTAGATATGACAAAAAAGAAAATAATATATCTAAATTTGAACAAGGCACGAATAATATTGGAACAGAATATAGTCGTAAGAATGATAATACAGCAATGGTGGAAGAAACAAAAAATGATAAGAGTCAGACTCGATCTCATGAAAAAATTATTGTAATTGATCTTTCACGATACCACGATCAAAGTACAATGGAAGAAACTAAATTTAACTGCAAAGCATCTGCAGAAAATCGTATTATACCAATTGTTACTATTAACATTCCCAAGGAAGAACGCGAAAGGTTTAATGAAGCCATAGCATATGCAAAGCGTGAAACGCTTAATGATGCAACCAGTCTACCCGAAAAAAATCAAGATTGCAGTAATGGATTGCCAAACAATGCAGATGTAAAGATAACGTCTATCACGAACCAAAGTAAAGCAGACGATAACAATCCTTCATCAAAACAAACCGAACATAATGAAATTAAGCCCAGAAAATTCAATCCCAAAACAAAATACCAAAAAACATCTGAAACTGAAAATTCCTCACATACTGAAATATTAAAGCCAGTTACTGAAGTATACAATATTGAAACATCTATACCAGAAAAAAACAGTGTGAATTACCATATGCCTTTACTTGATGATGAGTTAATACTTGAAAAGAAAATTGAAAGTGATAACAAAAGAAATGTAGACCTGCTCAAAAAAAATAAAGATTCATTGACACGAGATAGCTGTCAAACTATAAAGCTTAACGAGAGCATGTCTGTCAATGAAAGTCTATTAGATGACCTTGTCTCTGATTATAAACAAGAATCCAAATTAACTATTACCTCAGTAACACAAGGCTCAGGAGCAATTATCACAATACCGTCAAAGAATGATTTCAATAAAAAAATAAAGGACCAGTGCAGTCAAACTGACACTAAGGACAACGTCTTATTGAGTAAGCTTCCATTTCCTTTTAATCACGCATTTAACAAAGCGGATTCGTCACCTAGAATAGAAATAAAAAGCAACGTAGTCATAAGACCCGCTAGTGAATGTGAAAATAAAACATCAATTCATCCAGTTACAAAATCTAATAATAGTATCAGCACTCTTATCAATGCCGCTGAAGCTATAAGTAAAATTGAACACCAGTTTAAATCTCCGGAACCGAAAAAAGACTCAGAGTTAAAAAAAAAGCCGTACGCATCTGGCAATTCAGATAATAAATTGAGCATTTCTAATAAGGCACAAAAAAACGAATATCCCAAAGATTCAATAGTTTCTACTGACAATAATCAGAATCCAAAGATATTGCGAAAGAATCCTCAAGTTGTATTACAAAGAACGAATTTGGATCAAAAAACCGTATCAAGTAAATCTCGAAAGTTGTTGCAAAAGAATGAAAAAATTGAAGAAGATAATGTAACTGCAAGTAGTCTTTCGTCTAACGAGATCGCATTAAAGCGAACTCATCAAGAAAGTTGTGATGTAAATGACTTCGAAAGCTTGATAACGGAAAACCAAATTTATGAAGACAAAATAGTTGTGAAGGAAAAAACACAAGATACGTCACAAGAGGACGACTTGAAAAAGGTCAGAGTTACGATAACACAGAAGCAAACGAAATTAATCGATAAACCTACTGTTCCTATAACTAAGATTGGCGAAAAACACTCACAGAAAAAGAATGCACAAAAATTTGTTCCCAATAAAATACCAGATAAAATTGTAAAACGTAGAATAGCAGAAATAATTGCAAATATCAAAGAAAGTCAAAGAAAAGCCAAAGAACAATATGCACAAAGAAAAGCTGCTGAAAAAGCAATGCAAGACAAAATTAGTAAGGAAGCTGAAAAGTTCAAAAAACCTTATGATAAAAATATAAAGAACAAAAAAACTGAAAAACTGGTACAAACTAAAGCGACTGAAACGACTACGCTGAAAGGAACTGAAAGAAAGGCTCTAGATAAAGTGTGCGATAAAGTTGTTCAAAATAAATTAATAAACACACTTACACAGAATAACGTCGTTGAAAATTATTCTCATTTCATCAATACTGAAAATTTTGTACAAAATCAATTTACATCGAACTCTGAACAGATGGTTCCTAAAAATCATATAGAAATTAAAATAGTCGATAGATCAAAAGGTGAAGTTAGTAAAACTCCTATCACATCTACTGATGGTTCGATACGTAAAATAACAATAGAAATACCAGCACCAGATAACGTTGAACAACAGCCAATAGTCGGTGATAAATCACTACAAATGCTTATCGAAAAATCAGTACAGAATAAAAGCGATATAGTAGGGACCACGGTGCAAAGTGTGCCCATGATCGAGATAACTCCACATACAGTTGAAGAGCAACCATTTCCTACCGACGTTCTAGAAATCGGACCTTTGAATCGAACTTTTATCGACGTTCCTCCACAATCTAACGTAGTGGTACAACCAAACTTTGTATATCTAAGCAACTTACCGTACCCAAATGTTATGATGTTCCCGAATACTAACTTAGGTCCAAGCAATGCCTTACCGAACCACAACATTTACCACTATGGCCAAACCGAACCCATGCCTGAATATCATCTAATACCCCAACCACCAGATCCTCAACTAGAATATTATAATTTACCACAAGCACAGTCTTTGAATGCACCGAAAGAAATACAACTTATTACTCCAAACGGAAACGTCATACAAACTGTAACGGCAAATAAGGACTTGATGCTCCCAACTAACCAAAACTTTGCAATTAATCCTCAAATGTACTATGAAGTAGATGCTGAGGGTAATTTAACTCCACTTGGGAATTTAGGCTACAATCCGTTGATACCAGAATGTGATCCAGTCGTGGATCAGAATAAAAACGAAGATGTAGTCACGGCCTGTCCACCGGATGCTAATATACCAACAAAAATCGTTAAGGCGAATGTAAAAGCCATGGCACCTAAAGTAAATGATGAAGTGAGCACTCTAGATTTATACGAAAAGCGCAGAAGAATAAAAAGAATCAAATATTTAAGTAACAGACCAACGAAAGTTCTTTCGAAGAAATCTAAATCAAAAAGAGTTTATGACAACCCCAAGTACATTATAACGCCTAGCAAAGTGAGTGAAGAGGTATATAAGGAGTATTTAAGTAAAATTAACGAAAAAGACGGAAGCAGCAGTGATAGTGATGATGAAGAGGCTCAGCTGAAACAATACCTCGAAATAATCAGTAAATATGCTATTAGGGATGAGAATTTTACAGATAAAACGAAATATATGTCCGGATTGAAATTGATGACAAAAGAGGCTTATCAAGGTAATTAAAATTTGAACAAAAGTTTTATTATTTAANATTTAAGTAAAATTAACGAAAAAGACGGAAGCAGCAGTGATAGTGATGATGAAGAGGCTCAGCTGAAACAATACCTCGAAATAATCAGTAAATATGCTATTAGGGATGAGAATTTTACAGATAAAACGAAATATATGTCCGGATTGAAATTGATGACAAAAGAGGCTTATCAAGGTAATTAAAATTTGAACAAAAGTTTTATTATTTAATTAAGGAGCTATTTAAGGAACCACAATCACGCTTTTTAACCGACTTCAAAAGAGGAGGTTATCAATTCGGAGAAAAAAAACAACTAACTATACCTACTTTAAATTACTTTCAGAAAAACAATCAGAAACCCGAAGAAAGTCTCCAAGATTCAGTACCGTGGCCTCAGCTAACATCACTAATGGTAAAGACCATCGCTTCCCACATGCACGTCGCGATACAGATACCTCACCTCCGGCCTGTGAACAGCACCTTAAAGACAATCTTGTCGGCACAGACAATTCAATATTTCAACACAAAAAGAGTTTCTTATCACTGCTGAATTTAGGACAGGCCACTGAGAAATATAAAAAAGGTAAGTGCTTGTAGCATAGATCAATGGGGTTTAGTCGGTAGTTGTCTTGGCGTCCTGTTACATACGCCCCTCAATAATAACGCAATATAAATAATAATGCAGACTAAGGCATTCTTGAACGCATCGTTTCTATTTAAAGACGATTTACTGCTAAAGTGTGACAGAACAGATTTGTCTTGACTAGCGGAAACACACATCGTCGGTACTATTTCTTTTAAGCTGCTAAAGTGATTAAAGAAACCTATATAACGAAAATACATATCAGAGTTTGTAGCCGAGTAAGTACCTATAGACGAAAACGCCGGCACAAATTATTGATTGTAATTGCCCAAAAGAACAGTCCTTGTTAAATTTGTCACTATGTTTAGTATTTAAAATAATATCACTTATTAGGCTACGAAAGAACATGGCAAGAGAATGACAAGAAAAGGAAGCGAAGACACGACCCCGACGACGACGGCCCCGGTGCACACAAACCAAAAGAGCCCAAAGTCAACATGCACTTCGATACTAATAACCATTTACAACTACTCTCGCAAATTAAAATATTTGTTAACGAAAACAATAATCTCATCAAGAAGCGAATAGACGCCACTGCAGATGAAGAAGAAGACGAAAGTATAAAAGCCCTAGCCGACAAAAATTTTTCAGAACTAAGTCGTCTATCCAAGATGGCCAATAGAAGCGTTAAACTCTTCACGGGACAGGACACGAAAAAGAGAGACTTGACCCCCGGCTTTGACAGCGAGAACATTGAAAAATCAGCAGAAACCGTCGAGAGGAAATTCATAGAATTAAAAATACCGAATTGGGCAACAAACGTGCCATTGTCAGATGTCAGCAGTGAGCCGCCCCACGCGCTTCCATCCCAAGCCAATGACGTGTCTGCAGGTCTGCCACCCGCGCGGGAAGCTCCTGCCAGGAGGCCGGTGCGTCAGGTGCGGGACGCAGCCTGCCAAGCCACACCGGTGACTTGGCCAGGATTCGAGTGTTTCAAAAGAGGCTTCCAGCTGTTCGATGCAGGTAATTATAATACTTACAAGCCGCGCCAATAAAGAAACGAATCTAAAATGGCGGCGGCGATCATGCGCTCTCACTCTAAACTATTGCTGTCTTCAGTCGCAAACGGCGCGTACTGCATGTAAAAAAAAATCAGTTCTGACTTTGTTGTTGAGTTCGAGTTTTTTCACTTTCGAGTTGTGCGACTTAGATGACTGGCAGTAAAAGTGTCTGCGCAAATTACATCCCAGATGAGATACCTCCCCCTCTGTCAGGGCATAAAGTAAAGTAAATTTTCATTTGTTTTTTTTATATTTTTGTACAATAAACAACTTTTTCTTTCTATCTTTCTTTTTATTTGTTGACCCTACCACCTGTCAGGGCAGGTACATGGACGCCATTTTCGATTCGTTTCTTTATTGGCGCGGCTTATACTTGTTCTGTAACGTGCTGCTTTCGTTTTGAAATCTAGCTTACACTACAGTGTGCTTAGTGCGAGTTTCTTAGCGTTCTCGATAGCGTAAAAGTTCAGCCAATTTTGTATGCAGTTGGAACAGCGCCCCTAGCGGCAAACGTACGCAAACGGACCCATTCCATACAAATATGAGCTAACCTATATAGGTATATGCTAACGAGAACATTAAAAAACTCGCACTAAGCACACATATATCAAACTATGACTAGCGTCCCGGTTATCTGTCGCTTATCTAATTGAGTCTTGAATGAAATTCATTGAATTTTAATGTATTTCCAGGCCGTCGCAAGGAAATGGTCCTACTGCATCGTCTGAACACCGGTCTCAGAGTAGAAGGAGCTCGGATCACTCGACTGGCCTCCCACGAGTCGGATAGGGCCAAAGCATTATTAGCCGAGCGAGAGCACTTGGCTGCAGAAGAACGTATCATAAGGAAATCATTGCACAAACTGTGTCGAGCCGTGGAAACAATTCGGCGAGCCCCGGTTCAGTGATTTAACACTTCAATGGTTGTATTTCCACACAGTGTTCGGCTTCAAAGCGACAAAATGACAAATATGTACTAAAGCAATAAAAGTTAGGTAGGACGTCTTTTACAAAAAACATTTACAGGATTTTTAGGTGTTAAATCAATGTCTTAGGATAATAAGTATTCTTAATGTGTATGTTTTTTAGTTTGTGTCAATTATTTGTACAAATATCATTCGGAATTCAATTATAGTTTAAGTTATTCATAAACGGAAAGCAATTAGTTTTAAGCCTACTTGTTAATTTACAATGAAAAAAATCCGGCCTTTTTTACAAAGTTTTACTATATATAATATATATAATGTACTTTTATTATACTAAATTATATTCCTCATCGAATAGATAGTATGTATAATACCAATGAATGTAGAAAAACAGGCAGGGAATATTTTAAAGTAGATAAAAATTACTAGTCTTAAAAAAATTGGTTTTGTAATATTAGATGTATATAGATGAGCCTGAAGTTTAATATTGATGTAGTAATGTAGATTAACTTTTGACTAATGCCTTGGTTTCGCCTTGTGTTGAAGTGCTCGCCCCGCGGCGATGGCTGTTTCCGAGAGCGACCTATGAGCAGTAAGTTCGTTTAGGCGGAGTCATTAAAAATGGTCACCGGTGCTTCCGTTACTGCGATGGTTCTGAATGTTCGGACTGCCGTAATGTGATAAGTCGTCTCATCATTATCCTGCCCTTCTCCCAGTCACCTGGTGTCGGCGCAACATGTTTTCTCCTTCCATACTCCTCTATCATATACCATTTCTTCGCTCACTCCCCTCTTACACATAACGTCATTCACGCAATCCATCCATTTCTTCTTAGATCTACCTCTTCCTCTATATCCTTCCACATTCATAGTTAGCATTCTCTTACCAACCTCATTTTCATTTCGTCTCATCACATGTCCATACCATCCCAAACGCGCACTTCTCAGCTTCTCTGTCACAGGTGCCACTTTCAGACTTCCTCTAACATATTCATTCCGTATTCTATCCATTCTCGTTACTCTACACATCCATCGCAACATTCGCATCTCTGCTGCATGCAATCGCCGTCTGATAAGTCGTTTCTGAGAACATTTTTCCTGTTGGTTTCGCGAGGTCGCTTAGTCTGTGCGATTATTTCTTACGAACAGCCAGTCCGGTATGGTGACAACGGGACCCCACTAATGGAGTTAGCTCTTGTCGATCAGACAAGAATTGTGTAATAGAAAATTGTGCTTATAAGCACAATTATATATATAAAGGAAATCTGTTAGAGCCAAACCAGACATAATAGACACTGAAATAAATTCATGTAATCACATCCTTTATGCTTTGTGATTTATTGAAGCAATTTATGCCTTAGAATATAAGTTGGAAGAAATTGGCATATCGCAAAGTTTGAAATTCGATGTTCCTGATATCCCCTGTCTTCCGTACATTAAATGAATAAACTGAGTCATTACTAGTCATTAGCTCGGCTCCACACGCGGTGCCGTACTTATTGAGAAAAACCTTTTCTTAACACAACATCATCTTACCTGGTAGGTACATTGGGAATGATATTAATAAGACTTAATAATAAGACCAATATCGGAAATTTCATTTCATTGTTTATTTTTATGTGCACAGTAACTGTTTTCGCAAAATATTATTACTAAGGCCTCAGGAGTGACATACGTAGGCCCTAAAACCATGTCCCGTGCATTATCTTTTAAGTATTACGCGGATATCTTTTTGCTGTGAAAGTAAGAAGGAGTACGTTACGAATAAACATAGAACAAATAAAAGACTAAGATCTGCATGCACTACGGGAGACCAAATACGAAGTTAGGTTTGTCTCGTCAGTGGCCGAAAGCTTTTTCTGGTCGCTAAGTCACTGTAAGGACTCTAGTAAATTTGAAACACAATTTCTTAAACATTATAATAGCAGGCTCAGTATCGCTATACAATGACATAGGTTAGTCCCTATATCGTATTTTAGTATTCTGTGGGTACTTAGTATTTTCATAAATGGTGGTTTAACATAAATAAGAAATGCGAGATTAAATCGTCAAACTATTTTTAATTATATAGGTACTTATATCAGATTGCCATGATAACCCCGACAATTGCCTAATTTTATTCTGGTTTCGCCCTTAAATTACTGTAACAACGAAATTCAATTACAATTTATCTTAAGGTAAGAAGACATAAGGTATCAGTTACGTTTCATTTAACGTTTCCTAGCTCTAGAAATTACACAAGACTGGTAAAACCAGATCAAAGAAGCGCTTTAAGTATTTTGAGGTCTTCGAAGATGTGCTGTGGTTATAACAGATAAGTTCATATTTGTTGTCAACGGCTTTATTCGTGTAGTATGTATACAAAGTAATATTGTCGGATATTATTATTGTAATTACATATTCTATTCTACCGATTTCTACCTAATGCAATACAGCTTCAGAGCCATACAGCCACCTCCATCTAGCGATCACTGATAAAGCTTTTAAAACTAAAACGTGACTTTAGAGAAATCTCAGAGCTTCTAAAGGATAACTTACCCAACACTTAGGTACTGAGCGTAATACGACACCGCAATAATTAGTTCCCAGCCTCAGTTCTGATTATTTATTCATCGATTCCCGTTGAGGTGTGACCTGTATGTATTGTTCCCGGCGGTGGCGTACCTTCTGATTACGTACCCAATCTATCCGTCACTGTTCACGGAACTGCGCTCTATCGCAAAAGACATTTTAGTAATGTATTCGAAATATAATGTGTTTACTAAATTATTGATCGATCCTTACCGGGGATCGAACCCGGAAACCATAGTTTTTATTGCTTAGACAGTCGGACAAGCTCACCGCCCACCTAGTAACAAGTGGTTACCGTTGACATGGACATCAACAACGTAGATGTCGCCACTCACCTTGAGACATACCTAAGGTCTCAATTTTTACAGTACAAAGGTGGACCTTCAAACCGAAACGCATTACTGCTTCACGGCAGAAATATTCGGGATGGCGGTATCTACCCGTGCGGACTCACAAGACATCCTACCACCAGTAGGTAATTACGCAAATTATAATTTTGAGTTTGTTTTTTGTTACTGTTTTGCGGCAGAATTATGCAGGATGGTGGTTCCTAGCCGTGTATGGCTCCAATTATGTTCTAAAATGAGTAAACACCGCTTGGTGATCGCAGTATGCTGGGTTCGGACTTAGAAATGCTGCTGTCCACTGTCTATTGAATCTGTTAGTCGCCTTTTTTTATGACCTTGTAGGTAGACGCCCACGTGATGGTGAGTGGCTGCCATCGCCCAGGGACCGTGCCAACCTGCTGTCTGCTACCTATCGTTAAGTACTCTTCATAAGCCTTTTACGATATTCACGAAAATGTATTGGGATATGCTGTTCTCTACACACAATGACAAAGACATTAATCACAAACCAGTCATTAATCTTAATCAATTTTGATAATTAAGTGACGCTTTTTCTATAACTAGTAGGTATATGTGAACGGACGTGGACTAACAGAAATGTTGTTGTTGTATGTAAAGTGAAGTCGGAAGTTTTTGTACGAAGGAAACGAACAGGGATAAAGGAAGGATAAATTAAAGACTTGAAGTCGTTACTGTGTTGTTTATTTAATTAAATTATTATTTTAAATGTAAATAGCTTTAATAACGAGTAATGTTTTATATCGATGTAATGTAATGTACCTATATGTTCGAATGATAATAAAATAAATTCGTATGAAATATTTTGTTGTAGTTTCTCTTAGAAATAAATTAAATTCTCGGTGATAATTTAAATTGTTGCATTACTGTTTGCCGAACAATAAACAGCGGATCGAGGAAGATACACATTTGGTGGTCACTGCTGTCCATGGACATCAACCGCGGCCACATCTCAGACACTGTCTATTCGCCTGGGACGTTCACGAATTACTTTTCAAGTTGTAATTTGTTGTACTGGCGCTATTCTACTGATTGTTTATTAGGAATTAGTGTCAGGGAGTTTGAGACCGTACGGGTAGGATACCTATCACAACCCCGCCTATTTCTGCCGCGAAACTGGCATTCTGGTTTGAAGAGTGGAACGTTTAATTTTAAAACAAAATTGAGACTATGACCTCAGGTCCTCAAGCGTCTCTAGTGACCATCTCAACCCAAGTGAGGCCGCAGGTGAAGACGATCCGACAACTCCTTCCAGACCTTCAAACCTAGATACATATCGTCGTTGTCAAACCAAAATCTGCTATGTGCACTTTTTGAGATTTTTCCTTTTTGACCTTTTCGTATAGTTCACAGCCCTATCTATCTACCGTATAAAAAAAACTGTTATGTGTCTATAGCTTTAATATTTATCTATAGTTTTCATTTGATATAGTTCTTAAATAATTCACCTTCATATAAAATTTTATACGAAAATATTTTTACTCGTTAATTCTAAATAGAGTTTTTGCACATAGCAGATTTTGGTTTGACAGCGACGATATATTGAATGAAACATATAGGTATTTATTGATGATTTTATTGACCTTGTACGCAGACGAGCATCTGGTCCACCTGACGGTGAGTGGTTACCGTCGCCCATGGACCTCAGCAATGCCAGGGGCAGAGGTAAGCCGCTGCTTAGCGTTCGAGATACTTCGAGATCTTTCTGTGTGAAGCGCGAATCTCAATGAACAATTTTATAGAAAACGAGACGGTAGTTGTCGATAGACGTCATCGTGGCCTAAAGAATAATACGTCCGGTGCATTCGCATGTAGTGATGCATGCATCGGCGTTCGAATCCCACCGGCAGGTACCAATTTTTCCAATGAAATACGTACTTAACAAAGGATCACGATTGACTTCCACGGTGAAGTAATAACATCGTGTAATAAAAATCAAACCCGCAAAATTCTAATTTGCGTAATTACTGGTGGTAGGACCTCTTGTAAGTCCGCACGCATAGGTACCACCACCCCGCCTATTTCTGCCGTGAAATAGTACCTAATGCATTTCAGTTCGAAGGGCGGGGCAGCCGTTGTAACTATACTGACTGAGACCTTAAAACTCATATCTCAATGTGGGTGGCGGCATTTACGTTGTAGATGTCTATGGGCTCCGGTAGCCACTTAACACCAGGTGGGCTGTGAGTTCGTCCAGACATCTACACA